GCTGAGACTAACTTACTCTTACATTTTATTCTGGTCTAATTTACCAAGATTAAGTCATTTGGAATCCAATTTACTCAATCCAAATTATTACATTTATCCATTGAACTTATATGATAACTGAATGCTCAATCAAGTAGTGTTGCCCGAAAGAGGATGTTAATAGAGATAGCAATACCATCGGTGTTACTATCTTTGTCTGCACATGGCGCTAATGTCTCTAATTTCATATTTCTAACCGCATATTATTTAGTTTGATTTAAATGAAGTGAACCATTTATTTTTAACTTCCACAAAATATATTTTATTAATTAATAAAATATAAATAATTAAATGATAAATAAATAGCTATAGCATTTATAATTATAATTTAAATAATAATATAACAAGTATTGAAACATGTTTTTGTAGACTTCGCATTTTTGTCATATAAAGGAAGTATATAGAAATTTTAAGTTGGAATAAATTAGTTGTAAATTGAAGTTGTAGGTTTTTAGTTCATAACTCAACATATGAAATACAATGCATTTTTAGTAAATAATATTTATTAAAATATAAACATGAGTATTTATAATATTAATCTATAATTGAAATAAAGTGTACTTACGCTATTTTACCTGAGCTATATCTTCTACTTACTTAGATTAGACTTTAACTAATTTCTCCAACTTAAGCTAATATTGTAGATTTTATAATTTAGAAATATCTAACTGAAATATCCAGAAAACAAAATTGCAATAGCATTTTGTTATACTTCATGATAGTTTCCTAAAATAAATAAATATTTAAAGATACTATGATACTTTGTGTAGATACTTAACTATATTCATAACCTTGAGTTATAGATCTGTTGTTAACTAACTGTAACTTATGTTGAGTTGACTTCAGCTAGATATTTTTCCTGTAATACAATGGAAACTATAAATTAATAAAAGGTATTACAGTTAAATAAACTATCAAGTATATTCATTTAAATAAGAAACCATTAAAATATAATAGTTTAAAATAATAGATTTATTAAATTTATAGCATTAAGCATTAAAGACATATTAAAATAAAATCATATACACTACAAGTTAACATAATGTTATATTATGATAAATAGTGCATAAATGAGCAGTAGTGTTGAAATAAAAGATACAATGAAAATATATATTAATTATAAAATAAACTAAGCTTATATAAAGTATTTAACATGCACAATTTTCAACTGACAAGAGTGCTGAAGTTGGATATAAAAGTTACTAAACATAAAGTGGTTATATATTATAACACAAAATAAATTTATAAACACATGTAATCAATATTATAAAACTAGCTAAATCATGATTAAATAAAATAAGTTTGTTTAATTTGTGTCTAGGGATGACTAAACCTGATTTTAGTGTGTCAATTTTTATACTCAGTATGGACTCTTAAGTACAATAATAGAAGATATAAATTTTACTATTTCATTTCTGTGTAATTTCAAAGTGCATCGCATCAAAATTGGATGTATAGGATTCTACATTTTTACTTGATCCAAAATTGTTCTTGCACTTTTAATATAATATCTTTTTTAAAGTTATTATTTTTATATTTGCAGAATATGCTTGATAACATTTTCAGTGAATAATATTATATCAAAATAAACATTGTCAACAATCAAAACAGTTTATCAAATTTATTAATTTTTCCACTTACGTAACTGCTATGAAGCCATTTCATTGAAATGTAAACACATAAAGTGTGTATTAACTAGGTTTAAAATCTTTCCTTGAACAAAGCTATGCACCCATTTTTGAAGCCTCTTTATCTTTAAGAGGGAAACTCTAAATATTAAAATATTAGATGTAAATCTGTTTAAAATATCAATGAGTAAAATCAATAACACCATATAATAAATAACTTAATACAACTTGGAAATGACAAGTCTTTCTAACATCAATAGAGCTAGCACAATTAAAGGCACTACAAAATTCACCATTTTAAGTCTTAACTGCCACAGTAGGTATACACTATTTTAATTATTTTAAACTTTGAGAACGCAGAAGGCAGAACAAAAGTCAAACGTTAAATGAACAACGAATTTAAATGTATTGGTAATCAATTCATATAACTATGTGTGATAAAAAGATAGTAAAACCCATTCTATCTATGTCTTTTCTAACACGCTATCTCTGGTTATGTTTACATTGTCTGGTATGACTGGTGAGCATCCAGTTATCATATAGAGTTCAATGCATTTATCACGCCCATTAGCTACTAATTATTATGCGAGTTATCAGTAATTTAACCCTGCGCGATCGCAGAGTTTGATCTTGGTATTATGTCAAAATTATATTGAATATCTAGCATTTTTATTAATTTGAATGTGAATTAATTATTAGAATTATAAATATTAAATAATACATTACTATTATATTATAATAATAATGATAATAATGATTGTAACTATGCAACATTCCTAAATACGAAGGTTTTAGTTCATTGCCCGTGCAGTAATTACACTTAAGTGAACACTTCAAATTGCAACATACAAAATCATTAACTGTGTTAAATGAACAAATCCTTTTATTAATTATCTAATAAACATAATTGATTAATATAATAATTTAATATTGTAAATGTGAATCAGTTCAAATAATAGCATACTGATTAATAGTACACTTTATTAAAGCCTAAAATAAAAATAATGATTTTACGGTTAAAATAGATTTTGAATAAAAATTTTAGGCTGTTGACACTATACCTACACATGAGTAGTTTTCATTTAACAAAAGCATTTACAAACATAATATAGCAAAATGATTTTTACAGGTTTTGCTTTTATAGAGTACACTGCACAAACATTTTGTCCTCGCTCATCATTAACTTATTTGCTTAAATAAATATTTTGTTCAAATTATCACTGTGTTGTTATTATAGCATTATTAAGCACAACTGAACGAAGTACAACAAGGTGTGTGTGTGTTGTGTGTCTGCCGCGTCTTTCTCGCTCGCTCCTCGACGCGCGCGACCTTCTCTCCTCTCCCGGCGGCGCGAATATATACCACATAAAACATACTAACGTAACGTCGTAACCGTCGTCGCGCGAGTTAGTCGTTGACCGGCGTCGTAATTGTCGTGACGTGTGTGTATCAGACGGAAAATGCTAATCGGCACCAGTAGCTGCACGACTATTATTATTATCAATAACAACTTGTCCGGTAAGTAGTGGCGTTATGAACGGATATAATTACATCTATTTTTTAAATATTTTTTTACAAAAATAGTCGAGTGGTTTTTTTTTTTTTTATCTACGAGATCTGTTGTCGTATAAATTAATTTTATCTCTTGTCCGTTTAAAATTTTTCACTTTTTACGGATTTGCGTGTGCACGAATGCTCTCTGGAACATCATCGAGTTTACCGACGGCCGTACGTCGACGAATCTTTTTCGGTCTGTCGTCGTCCACTTGTTGTACACCGATCCCGTCTAATCGTATATACTATACACTTACACGAAATCACCTTATCGGACGTACGGTTAAAAATAGCGCACAGGTGCGAAACGCGTCTCGGTTTAGCCTTGGACGTTCGGGACTGGTTTCCGGTCGCACAAATTTCGCGGGCTCGTTGCGGTGTTATCACGAGCTAAACGTCGTGTTCAGACCGTCTGAAAAATGAATGGAAATCCGCGAGTCCTAGGCGAACACCTGACGTACTGTTTTTCCGCGGGCAAGCGTGTATGTACGTATGCGTTTGTGATTGTGTGAACGTGGTGTGTTTGTCGTGCGTGCGTGCGGGTGAGTTTCGTTATAGTGGAAACAAGCTCTCTCTAATCGGCTTCATTGACACTTTACAACATTTCGCGATGAGGTGTTGCGCGCTCGAGTTTTCGGCGGTTGGTTTTCGTTCCGCCTCAAGGTCGTCGCCAGCAGACGTATGATGGTGCTGCCCCGTTTTGCTCGCCGATCGTACACCATTTACAGCGTCGTTCGTGTAGTTTTCCGTTTCGCCAATCGCGAAAATTTAAATAAACGTTCTAAATCGATCGCATTACTCGCGCTCTGTATCTATGTATTTCGTAATATTTGTATCGCGACAGTGTAATATCTGTATCACAACATTTATTATACAGCTCTTCCCTATGATGCAAACATGTTGTTATTATTATTATTATTATTATTATTATTATTATTGTTATAATTGTTTATTAGTACGGGCACTCGAATGCAAAATAAAAAACAACAAACGACTACTCGAGCTGAAACTAATATGTGCGATGTGCTTTTTAGTTAGTCTTCCGTTCAATAATTTAGTAAAGTTTTATAAGACCAATGCGATAAGAGAGGAATGAAACAGGCCTTTAGTAGACGCAATACAAGAATATCCGTAGATTATGCTGTTTTCAATTAAAAGTATTACAACACACACATAAACATTGTGTGCTGTTATAAATTTATGATAACAATATTAATATAATAATATCTTTGACGGATGTCCGTCAATTATTCATTTAGCTCGCCAATAGTCTGCAATAAACAATTGGGTATATAAAATAATTATAACATTTCAGTGTATTTCGTGCGTATGGTCATATCGGCGTCGCGACTGCATATTATGTTAATACCATGTATATTATACTAAAACCATTAACCTTGCAGCCGATAGTCCAGTGCATCTTTCATTAGTCATAATATTAGAAGTCGCATTACGTGCCTAGTGTCGGGTATGTTATCGTCAACGCGTTATCATCTGCGCAACAGATTACTATAACTTTACGAAAGAAAAAACGCGTATATAATGTCGTGTAATGTGATTTACGCTTACAATTCGATTTCGTTCGCCGGAACTTGTTCCGAAGAAATGTATGTGAAGTCAGAGGTGGTTAAGGTACGGGTAGTGGCGTTGGCCGCGTACTTTTTGGGATGTTTTCGAAATTACTGAGCTTTTGCGAGTAGTTTCTTCCGGTATATTCTTCTCGCGTTTTTCAATACCTGTTTCGATAAGTCTTCGTTATTATTATTCTTCAACGATTACAACGTGTAACATGTTAATAATAATTATCATAATTTAATGAGTAAATGAGTGTTATTGACAGAGACCGCGTCCCGGCATCGCCCATAAACGGATGAATAAGCGCGCGCGAGTGTATGCACGTCGTTTGCGCGCGTACAAAGGGCAATTATCTATCGGCGTTCTTATCGTAGATAAATTAGCCCGATTAATAATAATAATCATTGGAGTATGAATATTTTAAGTGCATGATGCATTTATTGTGGTATTCGCAAAATAATCTACTCGGTTCCGAGAATACAATTTTGCAGATAAGGCTCTTCGATTTTATTGTATATTTTTTCTCCACACTGGGTTTAATATTATTATGATCTCAACCCGCTGAACAAGCTTGTTTTAAGTCTATTGTATACGATGTTTTGTTGTGTACGGTTTTTTTTTTTCCATTAATTTTTTGCCGTTTATTTAAGATTTGTTTGAAACGAGATAAGCACGCTACACTGTTACTGTTGGCGTATTGTTCAAGAAACTGTGTGTACAAAAATTATCAGCACGCACGTGTCGAGTACGACTCTTTTTGTCTGTCCTTTATTGTTTTGGTGTTTTACACTACAGCGTGTCTTCGGTATATACATAATTTGATATTTATATATATATATATATATATATATTATATACATGCATACGTTTAATAATGGAATATATTAAAATAATAATAATATAGTATAATGTTATGCCAAACTCGTTGAATGAAATTGTATTTTATCAGTACATGTTTGCGTGTGTGTCGAGACTAGAGACTAGAGAGGACAACAATCTCATAACAATCGTATATTGCTTTCTTTGTCTTCTTTTATGCGCGCGTATAACAGAAAATTTACCGACTGCATAATCAATATTATAATTTTATTAAATTTTTTATTATTATTATTTCGTTGATTATTGCTGCCGACTACTACTAATTATTATTATTATTATTATTTAATATTTACATCAATATTCACAGTACAAGTTCTCTCTTTACATTTTATAAATTTAATTTAATAATTTATTGTATTTTTTTATTCTGCAATGTTTGTGACGCGAATAAAAAAAAATTTAAATCATCTGTCATATATCTTTCGAAAAAATCTACATTTATCAGTCCGTGCTGTTACAGGTTTTTAATTTTTTGAATATCATTTTAGCCTTTCTCGTTCTAATATCGTAAACGAACCTATTTCACAGTAGTTTTGTAAAACCTTACAGTTGCATGTGTACCTGTCGGTTGGCTTTTTTTTAATTTCTTTACGCGGCGACTACCAACGTTTATCCAAGTATAAGAGAAAATAACAAAAACCACTTGTACACACAACCCGGGCTAGTCGGGCTCAAGTAATTGCCTACGATTTTCATTGGCTTCTTTCGTAATTTATTATTATTGATGTTTTATGGTTTGTCGCCTGCAGAGATACGCCCACGCTGTCAACATTCGCTCGCACACGTACACACAATGCATGTCCCGGGACCATAATTCCATTTTTGATATCGCTCACAAGAGTTTCCGTTATGCAGCGGTGTTATCAATAAATATTTTAGTAAATAACACAATGACAGCGCAGTCTAAAAAGTTGCGATTTCCTGTCCAAAATTATCTACTATACGTTAGGTCATAAACTTGTGTTCAAATTAGGTCAGAAGTGGGGAATTTTCTACGACAGTCGACTACGGCAATATTATATAGTATTACCATTGCATTAGTAATTTTTCATAATTTTGTTGTAGTACTATAATGTACTGTACTATTAGTTATTCAGTATTCTTATTACTTATTGGATTATAATTTCTAACTTGTGCAATTGGATTATTTATGTTTAGGTATTTCTTAACGATACGTGCAATGATCACCAGCGGTCTTGTGGTGGACGGCGTTAGCCACGGACTCCAGGCCCATTTGCCGTATAACCACCAGGCTGTTCATAACCACCACCGTATGTCGTATGTGGAACCGTCGGCGTACATGAAATCCGTGGGTCCGCCGCCGCCTTCGCCACAGCAACAACAACAGCAGCAACAGCAACAGCAACAGTCTTCCGAGCTGCCATCTACGCCAGAATTCCTGCGGCCGTTGCCAAAACCGGCGCCCGTGAACCCTCTTAAGGCGCCCAGGGCGTCGTCAAAGTATGCGGTGGATTGTCGTCCGGTCAATCTCACGGCCCCAAAAGAACCGTTGCCGCCACCTTCAGTGGATCACCAACTCAGATTGGACGACCGGCACCATCCATACCCCGTGTACGGACATCCTCGACTCTACGTCAGTACGGCGCCTTATCATCCGTACCATCCAATGCACCAGCCACCTGCACCATACGGTGTATACACTAGCCCATACGCGCCTGTCATTCCGCGAGATACCAGACACCATCTGATGCAACCGCCTCAGGAACGAAGGTACCCAAGTCCACCGAACAAGAATAACGGTGTTAGCGTTGGAAATCGAACCAGTCCATCATCGTCACCTCCCGAACAGTTCAAGATTCCCAATGGTCGGGATAATAAACCACCCCTACAGCTGCAGCAGCAGCAACAACAACGGATACTACCGCCTCCCCAGCCGGCCACTACGGTAGCTACTGCTCCTGTCGTCAACCACAACAACAACAATACTAACCACATAGGCGCAACCGCGGAACCTTCGCCAAAGAAACTGCGGCGCACCACGCCAGAACCGCTATCACCGCCAGCGACCAAGACGTCCAACTTCACCAAGGGTTCACTGATACGGTTGGCCAACGGCAATATAAAAAAGGTTGAAGACATGAGGACTGAAGACTTTTTGAACTCTGTGGAAAACAGCGACCTGCACCGGATCGATCCTAGCACAGTGGTGAGAATCGAACCTGTAACGGATTCGGCAGTTAAAGGCAACATAAAGATTACACTTAGCTACGGTGACCAAAGAAATCATCAGGTAAACGATATTTAATTTATTATTATTATTGTTCATTATATCTTTTATCGATAAGGAAGTCGCCGTGGTAGTTTTCGTAGTAATAACCGTAATAACAATAATAACAGCAGTAGTATAATAGTAATAGTAGTATTGGTAGTATTTTCTACCGGCTGCACTCTCTGTCGCTCCCACCAATCGCCAAACCACGCGGAATCTCGTCACCTCGCGTTGTATATTAAACGTTTGAATAGGTAGTAAAATATGGTCTCGTCTTGGAATCGGGTTTGGCGAAAGACCGGCGGAGTGGGATGTGACGACGAAGACTAACACGAATAGTAGGTGGAGGATGACGTCGTGGTGCGTGGAGTAGGAGAACCATTAGCGCGGCGGTTTTAAAAAACGAACCACTCGTCGCCGCCGCGGTGAATTCTGTTTGTAATAATAACTTCTGGAATGCAACCAAGACAATACGGGTTTTATTATTATTATTACTTTTTATCACGACGGCAGTGCTCGCAGTGGGTGTCGCGAGGCGGTTGGTGGTGCGAGAGCGATGGGCATGTAATCTCGCTACGACCTTGGAAGTCCACGAGAGGAACGCGGCGGCGGACCCCGTTCGACGTGGATAGCTGTAGTGAGTGACATTGTTCCGGACTGGTTCTAGTTCAAGAGGTGTGGAAAAACCCGGAGCTTGTGGAGGCGGCCATGTTGCGTGGCACGAGTTGGTCTTGGCGCGCGCGCGCGCGCGCGTGTGTGTGTAATGTGTATGCATTTTAGTCGTATAGTGTTCTTGTTGTGTGAGAGTGTAATAATATTATACTACGCGCGCGTTGGAATTCCTTGTCCGTCGACGACGACCACACGACAAAACGACGCGCACGCGTGTTTTCGACTCGGTTTTTTCTTCAACCACCTTTTTAACGAGATTGAATGATAAAGCGCATACTATATTATTAAACGTACATCGCATATTATGTTCGGTCGGTGTATTTAAACGATTTTCAAATTTAGTTTAAGGCCACCGCGGGGGACAGATTTTCCCGACGTGTCCGACCGATTGGTTTTGCGTGATTTACTTTCTCGGTCCGCATGTATAGAGTCTTCTCGCGGACACTACCCCACATCCACACACAGCTCCTGTCGGAACAAAATCAAAATTGTTTAACCGCTATCACGTTTTTACAAGTTTTCCTACGAAAATCGAACGTAACGCGTTCCTCGTGGTTCCTTTGTGTTCGCCTTTGCGGGACTCGAAAATCATTCATGTTTGATATTGTGTTGTCACATGTTCAGAATTTAGTACACTCATCATTGTGTAAACACAATTTCTTACATGCCTGAATTTCGAATTGTTGCCGGTTTTTATCCTCCGCCATGTATTAACAATAATCGTCGTCGTTTTTTATACTTGATAGTTTGATACTCCTATATACTATACAAATACAATATTATTTAATTATACATTTTATTTTTTATTAGTAACAATATAACTGTAGATCTAAACTACGTATTCATAATTTTGCTTAATTACTACTGTTTAATTAATAATTAAAAATTATCGTGTCTTGAATTATGATGTTGTTAACACAGTCGTTTGAAAATTTAAACTTCAATTATTATACAAAACTACTCCTTTTTTATATTTTATCGGTAACAGTTTAATACTCTAATTGTATTCCTCACGCAACAAAATTATCTCGAAAACTTAAAACAATCGTAATAAAAATGATAGTTCATAATTGTAAATAAGTAATAAATAGCAATATTTTTTTACGAAAATTTGTTCAGCAAACACAGTTGATTAATAATAAATTATTTATGCCGGAATATCGTAAGGCGTAAAGTGGTATAAAACGTATGCATTTACAATTTCTGCATTTGTGCAAACAAAAATATTCTATTTTTTACTTTTCTGTTATTATTAATATTTTTAATTATCGTAGTGATATTATTTGAAGTGTTGTGACTCGCACTGGTTACAAATTATTTCACTTTAATTTAAAATTATTTTAGTTGCATAGAACTGCATGCAAATTTATTTCAAATAATAAATTAATTTATATAGGTCCGAGAACTCGGACAATTTCGGAGAATGTTTTAATGATATAGTATTATGTTGTAATAATTGCATTATAAATATACCTACTAATATAATATTTATCTATGAGTTGTCGTGTTTGTATGTAAACCCATTCAAATGACATTATTAACTACGCAACAGTCTTTGTTAAGTAACATTGTTCGATTTAAATCGTGTTCATTGTCCAAAGCAAGTTATAATACTCACTACACAGTACACAGTGTACACACCGTTGTGTTATAAAAGTTAATTGATAATGTTATATTATAATACTGAATGTTTGATTTAAAAATATTTTTAATTATTTCGATTATTGTACTATTTTTTATTATTAGTATCGTCGGAAACATTGTAATATTATTGTAATGTATTCTTGAAAAGTCTTCACTTAATATAATGGTTACCGATATTTTTTTACGTTTATCATCAACATGATAAAATCCAAATATATATAATGTGCTTTCTCGTTTCATGGAATTCTCTGCCGAGAATTAATAATGTATATTTTTATACATTGGAATATCATATTGCATGTTTTTTTTTTATCTAATGCGTAGTGCCCATTTTCGCTGAGAATTCCTATTAAACAATCAGGATCGTTTCCACTAACTCGTTCAAACCATATAGTCGAGCATTAAAATAAAAAAAAATTAATTATTTATCATAATAGATGTATCATTTTGATGGATAATCGTCGGGTTAAAAATCATTCGCCGTATTATTTGTTTTTGCATTTCGCATTTCATTATTTTTGATCTTGGAAAAAAAAAATTGGTATTCGCTGTTCAATACACGTATACAACATTTTTATGTGTGTTTATTTGTGCATGCAGGCGCCAGGCATATTGGCATGTGCAGTTTGCACTGTGGTTAGTAATGAATAATGAATTATAATGATAATAATAATATGTGTCGACCGGGTTTGCGGCACGAGTGCGCGCGTTTACCTACTAAGCGACGGGCGCTACAGCTGAATCGTTACCGATGGGCGATAAATAAAAATTCATTCCTCAGCAAAGCGTTTTATTACGAGAAAAAAAATAAATACATTATCCAGTTCAAAGAGCAAAAAATTGATATCGTACGTTTTTATTTTTTTCCACTCGTTTACTTCGACGACGATGGCGGTGGCGCCGGTCGCATTTCATTACGTAACACGTAATTTTTCGTGCTACGGTCTGTGCGTGTGTCGGCGCGATCACTGCGGCAATCTCATTATCGAAAACGCATAAATTTCATTCAACAATAGTAATTAGATATTACGCACGGGCGCGTTTTCGTGATACGCTCGATTTTACCGGTTAGCGTGGGTGGCGGGCGAGTGCGATCTATAGTGGCGATCGCGCGTCATCGTCGTTTTCTCCGTACACGCGCGCTGCTCACGAGCCGCGGTCAACCCTCTTCTGTATTCGGTTGTCTGCGCATATTTTATGCATTTCTTCGCCACGCCGTCCCCTTTGTTTTTCTCGTCATCGTGTGTACGTTTTTTCTCTCCGCTCGCGCAAACTAGTTTCGAAAATGAAAAAAAAATGATGCCCGAGAAAGGAAAGAACGTGTATAGAGACGGCAAGCGCACATACACATCGTATATATATATACAGAGAAAGAGAAGATGGCGAAAAAAAGCTGATATTAAACACAATGCCAAAACGAACGCGTGGCCCCCTCTAACTCCACTTGCTATAACCCGATTCAGCACTACGGTGAGTATTGTTGGTGTGTGCACTTTTTTGTGTGTGTACAAGTGCGTGTGTGTGACCTTTTTTCGTCTGAAGGTCGGAATGCAGACATCGATTGGAAATGTTAATACAGCGCCCCTTCACGGCTCATCCCGCTCGTTAAGCGCACTGCTTGAGTGCACCCGTCGCGCATGTGCATCGAATAACATCCCTGCCGACGCAGTAGAGGGTGATTACATTTGACCCCTTTTGCTCCCCCTCCATCCATACAGTCTTCGGAAATAGTAGCGAAAAATTATTCATCTTTGTTTACTGAATGAACTGATTTTAGTATTCTATCCAACCGCTATAACTTAACTCGTTATACTCGTATATACCTACCTACAACCTACTATACTGTACTATATTTATACTACAACTACATTACCACTTCTATAGCTCTATACGTACTTATTACTTTTATGTATATATTTGAATTTTATCCGGTGCACACAGTCACGACTTAATACTAGTACTCGTAACCCCGCTATTGCCAATCATGCGTGTAAATTTAGAAAAAAAATGCAAAAAACCAGGGTCATAAATTTCAATCGAAGATCATGGCGGACAAATAAACGTACCTAACGTTTAGACGAGATCAAACAACTCGATAGTCACCGTTGTAGTAGTTGGATTTTTAGTTTATCTTTAGAATATAATAGGTCAGGGTTATTCGTGTTAGGAAAATAAGGGTTAAAGTGTAAGACTGTTTTAGAGTAAATAACATTATACGTTACTATATTCTCTCATTATTATTAATCTCACGAGAAAAACAATAAATTAAAGTACTTCGAACCATTAATGGATTCTATTGCTGTATCTTATAGCTTATAAGTATACTAATATTTTATAATTTTCAATTGAATATTATGAGATAATTATTAATCAATATTTCATGTTTTTTAATTAGTTTATAATACTTAATAACAATTTATAAATATAATATGATAAAAGTAGCGATATAATATCACTATTATAGTATTATGCACTTATACGTTTTATAAATACATATATTATTAAAAAAACACCTAATACTTTTTTTTTTTATTAATTTCTGATAGGTAAACCAATACACCATGATTAAATACCACGGAATTGTAGACAAACCGACGATAATACATAACTAATATATATATATATATATGTTATATTATAGTAAACTAATATGGAATATAGATCATTTAGTTTACTTAGGATAGATCTTATACCAATCCTTATCT